GGGCAGAGGAATCGAACTCGGGTCGGCCATGTTGGCCGCTTGTAAGGCGAACGCCCTACCCGCTGTGCTATGTACATAAAGATCATAAATGTTAGGGCTGGAGTGATAGTATAGGGGGTAGGGCTTTTGCCTTGCACACAGTGGATTTGACTCCCAGCATCCTATATGGTACCCTGAGCACTGCCAGGAGTAATTCCTGAGTACAAAGCCAGGAGTAACCCCTGTGCATCACTGGTTGTGACCAAAAAAGCCACCCCCCCAAAATGTTTATTAGGACTACTATCAATGTGCTACCTAAATTGTAATAATAAAAGTAATCTAAAAATTGCTGAATCATCTGAGCCCTAAATTATTACTATTAATAAAGTCTTTTATCCATAACCTAGGAGTTTTATGTCTTTTGCCAGTGCCTGTGAAATGATGGCAGTCTAACTTGAGAGTTTGTAAGAAAAGCCTCAAGACTCTTAAACATTCTAGGCACATTCTAGGCACATTCAGTTGTTTTAAAAATCTAATGTGTAAAAAATATCTAATGTGTAAGAGTGTCAGGTGATGAAAAAAATGTAGTAGGCCAGATGAAGCTGTGACGAGCTGAAAAGTTCATGGTGTTTCAAAGGCATAATAACCTTTCCAAATTATTATTGTGGACCCAGTGCTGCTAGCTTGTCTGATATTTTTTCTAAGAAAGTCAAATTTTTGTGGTGCTACTTATCCTTTAGGTGTTATACAAGCAAGAGCTATATTTGAAGTGTTATTTAATTAATTTCAAAGTTCTAAGGCATGTTGACAGCTCAACAAACTAAGTCCATACACCATCGCTGTCATAGATATCATTGTCTTAGTGTACACATTACACATGCTAAAAGACATGGTCTAGTCTCTTTCAGCTTATTGCTGCATAAGGTAATTCATCTATAAACTTTCTATAGCTCCTTCATTTCAAATTAGTTCCACATTTGAAACGTATAAAGTGGGTGCTTTCACAATGTTCTTTCAAATCATCCGGACTAAGAAACTTTTGAAAGAAAACATGACAGGAACCTACAAGACAATGAAGAGAATCAGGAAATAGAAACTAAACAATAAAATTCTCAGGATCAAACCTACTTTTTTGCCTCCATAATCTGTCTTTGCAGATGTGAGGCTTGCAGTTTCAGGGAAAATGAAACACTGTATTTTGTTTATTGGTTATTCAATCAGATATGCACTGCTGAATCTTTAACATTGTATTTTAGCTACTCTGCATTTTCTGGCCAAAGATAAAGAAAAAGTATATTAAAATAACATGCTGGTAGAAACTTCAAAGATTGAAATTTTAAGCCACTCTATTTTGTAGTATAAAAACATCTAACTCTAGAATTTCCTCACAATTTGGATATTCTATTTGTACTGATACATCTTACATGATATAATAATCTTCCATAACAAAATAGAAATATCTGCAGTTTCACAAAACTATTTAAGACTTTTAATATGTAAAATTTATATATATATATATAATTCTTAACTAACACTCATTTCAGAAGTTTTAAACACAAAGCAATGTATGGAAAGACATGGGAAATACAGAGCTTAAATCATGTTATCCTATACAGAGAATATGTAATAGGAAAACAAAAGTTTTCAAAACAATCTTGTCATTTAAGTTATTTTTATCTCTAAATGGGACAATCAAACATACCTTTCTTTATTTTTCAAATGTACTATGCCAGAGTTTGTGTTATGCAGAGTGATATAAAAAAAAATTCTCCAGTTCCTTTCTTAGCTCAGGGAACAGTTATACCACAGCAAGTAGGGCATTTGTCTTGCACACAGCCCACCCAGTTTCAATTCCTTATATCTTATATGATCCTCTGAGTCTTCTAGGAGCGATCCTTGAGCACAGATAAGCTACCTAAGACATGAGATATTACAAAAGGTTTGGACAAACATCTGATGTTCTGAGCTATATGGGGGATATATTTATACTGAGCTACATGCTTGTTGATAGAAAGTATGTATCATTAGATTTCATGATATACCATGGAGTTGTGTCAGTTACTATGCATTTCATGCTTAATGAGGGAGAAACTGAGTATCTGGGCACAATTCCAACCCCCGTGCATGTCTGTATAACTATCTAAACCAGCTCTTTGGTAGATTCTCTTATCTGGAAGTTGAGAGTCCACAATAATGTTGGTTCAAGGTTCAGGATGTTTCTCTCCTTTTCCTGGTATTTCTTCCTTTTAGTAACTTTCCACATCATCTCCTACTTCAAATGGAGCTTAGAAAAAATGTTTCTTAATCTGAAAAATGATGAACAGGACAATAGGACTATTTTAATGAACATAAAAAGCTTTGGAACTGTGTATCTCATAGTGATTCAATTTAAAAAGTAATAAAAATTAAAACTTTAGATTGTGAATTACTGACTATTCCTTAAGACTGGGTTTTAAATAGAGCTATTTTTTCTCAGCTTACCTCTCGCACTGGAGTGAATAGGGCAGAGTATTTGCCTTGCATGCAGCCGACCCGGGTTTGATTCCTCTGCCCCTCTCAGAGAGCCTGGCAATCTACCGAGAGTATCTCACCCACATGGCAAAGCCTGGCAAGCTACCCATGACTAATTTGATATGCCAAAAAACAGTAACAACAAGTCTCACAATTTGTTGTGAGATGTTACCTGGTGCCCGCTCAAGCAAATCAATGAACAAAGGGAGGACAATGCTACAGTGTTACCTCTCACACTATAGACTCCCCACTTTACAAATAAGCTAGGTAGTGATGGGGTCCCAATTTCTGAAAACCAATGTCACATATAAGAGTACTGGTTAAGAAAGAAGCCTGAATCTCTTGATAGATTAACTACGCACTTAGCAATAAAACATCTTTTGGAAGAGTACAGGAATTAAGAATTTTGATGTGATCTTTCTAGGAATATACATAGGAAAAGGGAACTCCAAGGCCTTGACTATAAATCTGGAGTGAAGTTTTCTCACACTGAACTCCAAGAAGTTGTATGATGTTTCAAATTTCACAGATTTGTCATTTCTGCTGAGTTTTAGATTTTCTTGAATAAGTATTACTCCACTTGCTGTATGTCCTATGGATCATTCTCAGTGATCCTAATTGGCAGTATTTTTTTAATTATTTTTTTATTAGTGAAACACCATGAAGTACAGTTATAGACTTACAAATTTTTGTGCTTGGGTTTCAGTTATACAATGATAAAGTACCCATCCCTCCACCAGTGCCCATTTTCCACCACCACGGATCCCAGTATCCCTCCCCCCCATCCCCCCCCCCCATCCCACTCTGCCTCTGTGGCAGGGCATTCCCTTTTGTTCTCTCTCTCTCCTTTTGGGTCCTGTGGTTTGTAAGAGAGGTATTGAGTGGCAATCATGTTTGATCTATAGTCTACTTTCAGCATACTTCTCCCACCCTGGGAGGATCCTCCCAACACCCTTTATTTGGTGCTCTCTTCTCTATCTGAGCTTCCTTTTCCCCTAGCACGTGTGGCTGGCCTCCAAGTCATGGAGCAAAATTTCTGGTACTAATCTCGTCCAGTCCTGGGTGTTAGTCTCCCATTTTATTGCTTTATGTTCCTCAGATGAATGCAATCTTTCTGTGTCTACCCCGCTCTTTCTGACTCATTTCACTTAACATGATACTTTCCATGTAGTACCACTTGTATGTAAATTTCATGCCTTCATCTTTTCTAACTGCTACATAGTACTCCAATTGTGTAAATGTACCAAAGTTTCTTTAAGCAGTCATCTGTTCTCGGGCACTCAGGTTTTTTCCAGATTCTGGCAATTGTAAAGAGTGCTGCAATGAACAAACAAGTGCAGATGTCACTTCGACTATACTTTTTTTGCCTCTCTGGGACATATTCCCAGGAGTGGTATTGCTGGGTCAAATGGGAGATCAAATTCTAATTTTTTGAGAATCGTCCATACTGTTTTCCAAAAGGGTTGGACCAGTCGGCATTCCCACCAGCAGTGAAGGAGGGTCCCTTTCTCGCCGCATCTGTGCCAGCATCGGTTGCTTTTGTTCTTTTGGATGTGGGCCAGTCTGTGGTGTGAGATGATATCTCATTGTTGTTTTGATCTGCATCTCCCTGATGATTAGTGATGTATAGCATTTTCCTTATGTGTCTTTTAGCCATTTGTATTTCTTCTTAATTGCAAAGTTTTTCTTAAAAATATACAGCATACAGATGCATCCTTATTATATTTTCAGTTTTGTTTTGTTTTGTTTTGGTGCCACACCGTGTGGTGCTAAGGCTTACTCCTAGCTCTGTGGTCAGGGATTACTTTTGGCGGGGCTCTGAGGACCACACATGGTGCCAGAGATTAAACCCAGGTCAGCCAAGTGCAAGGCAAGCACCCTACCCATTGGATTATCTCTCAAGGCCCTATTTTGTCAGTTTTGGTAATTTGTTTTTGTGTCTATTTTGGTTATCTGTGTCTATTAATGAATTAATCCACTTCAATAAATAATCAACAAATTTTATAAAATTAAATAATTTTATAATTTTGACTTCTATTAATAAAACTAGAATGTCATCTCTTAGTCTGATGTTAGTAGTGCTTATCCTTTCTTCTGGAGCGATAGCACAGCGGGTAAGGTGTTCTCCTTGCATGCGCTGACATGCAGACCCCGGTTCGATTCCTCCGCCCCTCTCAGAGAACTTGGCAAGCTACCGAGAGTATATCGCTTGCATAGCAAAGCCTGTAAAGCTCCCCATGACATATTCAATATGCCAAAAAAACAGTAACAAGTCTCACAATTTGTTGTGAGACATTATTGGTGCCCACTCAAACAAATCGATGAACAACGGGAGGACAGTGACAGTGACAGTGATCCTTTCTTCTACCAAGTAATGAGTCCCCTAGAGTCCTAGTGTCTTAGCCTTTGAACAATAGGTAATTTAGAAGTCTGCAGGTAATTTAGTTGATTTTCATGTATTTTTAATGGATTTTTGTGTATATTGCTGTTGCTATTATCACTTTGGTCAGAGAACACATCGTGCCTGTGCGGCGAGGCTACTGGGGGAACAAGATTGGCAAGCCCCACACCGTCCCTTGCAAGGTGACAGGCCGCTGTGGATCAGTGCTGGTGCGCCTCATCCCTGCGCCCAGGGGCACTGGCATCGTGTCCGCACCAGTGCCCAAGAAGTTGCTGATGATGGCTGGGATTGACGACTGCTACACCTCAGCCAGGGGCTGCACTGCCACCCTGGGCAACTTTGCCAAGGCCACGTTTGATGCCATCTCCAAGACCTACAGCTATCTGACTCCAGACCTCTGGAAGGAGACCGTATTCACCAAGTCCCCGTATCAGGAATTCACGGACCACCTGGTGAAGACCCATACCAGAGTCTCTGTGCAGAGGACCCAGGCTCCAGCAGTGGCCACCACATAACCTTTTAAATAAATATGATATCAGTATTCTCAATTTTAAAGATATTGATAAATGTTTCATATAATTTGGAAAAAAATGTATGAATGGAAAGAGTACAAGACCTAAGGTACTTGGCACTTGCCTTGCATGTGGCTGCCATTACTATGATCCCTGTACTGCATATGGTCTTAAGAACTACCCTGAGCACAGTCAGGAGTAAACACTGAGCATTGCCAGGTGTGGCCGCACCCATCACCACCAAAAATTTGTATGTTCTTTGGTTGTATGATTGCAGAATCCTGTGGCAATTGGATTGAGTAGGTCTATGGCATTAAGTCATTTTTTACATATTGATTTTCTCTCCACTTGTTCCATCAATTACTTGAGAGGAATATTGAAACCTCTGAATTATTATATATGTTTTAGTTATCCCATTACTTCTTTGAGACTTCGTTTTTCAGTTTTGAAGCCATATTGGTAAGTGCATATTTATCAAGTAGGATATATCTTCTAGATGAATTAATATAGCCTATCCCACATTTAAAATTTTTTTTTATTTATTTGTTGAATCACCATGAGAACAGTAACAAAGCCTTTCAGTTCAAGTCTAGGTCAGTCATACAATGATCAAACACCTGTCCCTTCACCAGTACACATTCTCCACCACCAAGAACCCCAGTATACCCCCCTTCCACCCGCCCCCCACTTGTGTGGCAGATTTCCAATTTACTCTCTCTCTCTACGTTGATTACATTCAATATTATGACAAAAGACCCACCATTGTTTTTTTGGAATTTTCCCAACATTCAGAACTGCCACAAAGACATCATTAGAAAATTTATTTTCTAATGTTGATTATGAAGAGCATAGGATGTTGTGTGGCCACAATAGCAGCCACACGAATTTGGATTTCTAATATTTTAGTAATAAACCTAGAGGGATTACTGCCAGAAGCCCCTGGGTTCTGAGATTGGTATGTATGCATCTGGGTTCATGGTCGGTCAGAAGCCAAAGGAGGCGTTTGAGGGTGGCAACCCAGAGCACTGTCATGGTGGGGAGCAGGGCCGATTCCACCACCCGTCCCATGAAGCCACACATGCCTTGTCAATGCAGTCACTACCTGGCTGTTCATTAGGCTCTAAAAGATGCAGGCCACCATGTCGCCGTCACAGAGGGGGACAGGTGGAGGGACAGACACCTTCCCTTCCCAGGGCAGCATAGCATCATAGTTAAATGCACACTCAAGATGTACTTCAGTTGGGCATTATCTTTTTCTCAGATTTTCCCACAACCATTCAAGCCTGATTTTCAGGGAGAAATGTGGATGATTTCCTTTCTATTGATCACTTTGCATATCAGGAAATGTTGCATGGCCACATAAGTGGCCGCGCAGTTTGGAAAAATTGTCCTGGTACCCGCATGCCAGAGCCATGCTTGTAGAACCTCATGGTCACCAGGATTCCATCTGGAGAAGGCGGGGAGACAGCACCTACCCCATCTGGGACCTCCCAGTGATATCAGCTCTGTTTGGGGTCCGAAGAATTCTCTGGGAGCTTTGGGGCCCTCCAGCCAGTTTTCTTCTTTGCTATTATGTGCTGTAAAATGGCACTGGGGGGTGAGTTGTGGGTGTGACTTCCAGAATCAGAGGTTCTCTGGGAGCCAGGCGGCCCCATTGCAGTTCAGAAAAATTGTCCTGGTACCCACATGTCAGAGCCAAGCTTGTAGAAACTTATGGTCACCGGGATTATCCCACCTTTTTAAGATTAGTATTCACATGGCATATGATATTCACATGGTATATATTCACATGGCATATTTTATTAACCTATATTTTATGTGTAGTGTATTTCTATTTTAAAAAGCAAATACTTAGTTCTTGCTTTCTTTTTTCCCCAGACTAAAGTATCTTTATTACTATTATTACATTCAGTACTACTCCAAGGGTCTTAGGATAGCTCTGGTAATACTCTATCTAGGCTTTAGGCCCTGTGGTGTTCAGGCCTTGTGGTACCAAGAATCAAATTCAGATTATCACACACACTAGGTGTGTCCTCTACTACCTAAGCCATTCAGAAAATATCTTTCTTTTATTTGAAATGGCAAAGATTTACATATAATATAGTTATTATTTTGGAGTTCATCTTGCAACTTTGTTTTTATTATTCAGTCTGTTCTTTATTCTTTTTCCTCCTTACCTGTGTTTTTTCGGATTTGTTGAATAATTTTGTACTCAATTTTGTATCCTCTGTTAATTTTTAACCTGTCCGTCTTCTTTTATTTCAGTGGTTATTCTTGAAGATCAAGATATGCATCTTAAATTTATCATTATTTTATCATTCTACAGAAAAGAAAGACTTTTATTAAAACATTTCCATTTATAACCCCCATGCTTTGCAGAAATGTTTTTATAATTTAAAATTTGCATATGTATAAATCTACTAATACATTGCTATTGTTTTATATTAGCCAATTATTTTTTTCAAAAATTAGTAACTTAGAAAAATTATTTTATTGTCTGCATATTGACTATTTCTGGAACTCTTTATTCCTTCTACAGCACAAGTTTTCATCTGGTATCATTTTCCTTCTGCCAAAAGAAATTCCTTTAACATTTCTTTTAGTGCAGGCCTATAAGAAACAAATCTTTGGAAGTTTTATATGTTTGGCTATGTCCTTTCTTCAGTCTCATTTTTGAAAAATAGTTTAAGAAAATATCTAGTTTTAGTGATATTTTTAGGACCATTTAGAACTTTTGAAACTTATTGTTTTCTTCTGGTTTACGAAGTTCCTAATTAGATGTCATTATGTTTGTTAGCAACTGTATACAGCTGTATTGCTGTGTAAAATGTCTTACTTCTCTGAATGCTCTTAGTATTTTCCCCTTTACTACTGATTTTTGTCAATATGATATTTCCCCCACTTTATTTAAACACTGTGGTTTGCAAAGATGTTCACGATGATTTGTTACAGGCTTTCAGTATTCCGACACCCGTCCTACCACCACTGTCACCTTCCCTCCACGATTGTCTCCATTTTCCCAAATACCCCTCAAGCCAGTTCCCATAGCAGGCCCACAATAATTTATTTTTTATTACTTGTTACTACTAATGGTTAACAGAATGATCAAAAAATATTTCCACAGCAGAAAATTTGTGAAAGTTGTTGTATCTCTCTATGGGGATGTTAAGTCCTTGATTTAACATCAAGGACTTAAGCTGTTGTTGCAAGTTAAACCTTCTGTGTTAATGTTTTTGTTAGTCAAGATTTGTTGGTTTCTACCACATATTCCCATCCAACCTGGTGTGCTACTACTGGGGTGGAGGTATTGCAGAGTTTAGAGATGTTGCTCCAGAAAATCCAGAATATTTAACTGGGCAGTTCTGTGAGATGCATGGCAGTGGCTTTGGGGTTTGAGTGGAGCTGCCAGGACTTTGTTTGAGTGGAAACTGGGCTGCCCCTCTCTGAGAATGTCCCAGAAATCTCAGCCAGGAATAGGTATTGGAGAATTTTATGCGGATAGTTTATCTCTTTTGAGATTTATTTATGACTCTCTGAACAAGGACGGTACATGGTGGTGGTGGGTTGTGGGGGTGGTATATGGGTATGGCTGTTGAGGTTTCTGGAAGTATGGGAAGGTGGGGAGAGGACGCCCATTCTGACTCCAAGAAGGTCTGGAGATTTTTGCAAAAAAACCCTCCGGGTACCTGAAATTTTCAGCAGATTCGGGTTTCTGTGGAGATCAGTCCTGAGGTAGTGAAGTCTGGTCCAAAGCATGGGGATGACTCTGGGGCATGACTGTAGCTTTCAGGGCTTTAGTAGGTAGGGAGCTAGCCCTCCTCCATTCTTAGATCACCCTGGAGGTCTCAAAATGATTAGTTTTTCTTTTATAACATTCTTCTTCATGCTAATACTGGTTGGGGTTTGTTGAGCTTCTTAGACTAATGAGTTTGTAACTTTTACCAACTTTGGAAACTTTTTAGCCATTACTTCCTTAAAAAATTATACAAAAGCTTTATTTTCATATTATATTATTGCAGTTATACACATGATAGATAACTTGGTATTGTTCGTGGGTCATCATAGGTTTCTTAAGCTTTTCAGCCTTTGTTCTATCATGCAATTTGGATAGTTACTACCGTTTATTTTTCAAAGTAAATGTTTTCTTCTGCAGTATTCAATTTATGAAGATTTTAATTCATATATCCTGCCTTTAGTTCTTTTCATTTTGTTTTTATAAATTAAACTGTTTTAGAATTTCTTACAAGAATATCTCATGATTTTTATGTTTCCCATAAATTTTTGAACAACTAAATTTAGCTATGTTTAAAAACCCATTTGCCTTCTAATTCTATCTTTGTCCTATGTTTATTGAATGACTTTAATAATAACATATTTATAATTTTCTGCATATGTATAATAATTTTTCAGCAATTTTTTTGTATCTTAAAGATGCTAACTTACTGAGTGTCTGGATTTTGTATGTTTCTTAACAAAGTATTAAGTTTTGTTCTAACAGGATTTTAATTTATTGCAAATCAGCTTGGTTCTTTCATGGCATATAATTCAACTTTGTGAAGTCTATTGTAGATTTTACTTTAGGGCTATATTAACTCTGTTCTAATGATGTGCTTTTTCTGTGGACTCTACTAAACAGACAGAGTTTTCAGCGATGATTCTTCACTCTAGTCAGTAAAACCTGGTATGTCTGAACTTGAACATCATCCAAATGAGCTTCATAGATTTGTGAGCTTCATAAATTGTTCATTTCACCACTCCCTGGTGGTTGTTTTTAACCCAATAGTTGGCTCTGTGCCTGGCCGCATATGCCTCATGTGAGCTCCCTATGCACACACAGATAAGTATTCAACCAAAGATTCAGTGGGTTCAATACTATGTTCAATATGAACCTGTTTCCCTTATCCATAGTACCTTATGCTGTAACTTAAAACTTAATACAATAGCAAATAAAAATGTTCACAAACAGAGTTAGCATAGAAAATAGTTGTAAAAACTCAAAGAGAAAAAATCTT